AATGTGTTAAGATTACACTATACTTTTTTTTAAGGTTTTGACGTACTCAAATCCGGTGATGCTCGTGTGGCGCTTATTGGGTTTCCAAGTGTCGGGAAGGTAATATCAATAATGGTCGATTCCATTGCGAAGATTGAAAATTGATCAATTGTTTAATTTCAGTCCACATTGCTGTCAACTTTAACAAAAACCGAAAGTGAAGCGGCCAACTATGAATTCACAACATTGACATGTATTCCCGGTGTCATCGAATACAGAGGGGCAAATATTCAATTGCTCGATTTACCGGTATGCTTGAAATTGGTGACTTGAAAAAGTAGAAACAGTTTGAATGATGTTGTTTTGATATATGTAGGGAATCATCGAAGGTGCCGCTCAAGGCAAAGGTCGAGGTCGTCAGGTAATCGCTGTTGCGCGTACCGCTGATGTTGTCATCATGATGTTGGACGCAACAAAGCCCAATGTACACCGTGATTTGTTGGAGAAAGAATTGGAATCGGTCGGAATACGCTTGAATAAAGAGAAACCAAATATTTATTTCAAGCAAAAGAAGGGCGGCGGTCTGAGCTTCAACTCAACACTTAACCTAACGAAATGCAATGAAAAAATGGTTCAATCGGTTTTGCAAGCATTCAAAATTCACAACGCTGAAGTTCTCTTCCGTGATGATTGTGATGTTGAACAATTCATTGATGTTGTAACCGATAATCGTGTCTACTTACCCTGTCTCTATGTGTACAACAAAATCGATCAGATTTCCATCGAGGAAGTGAATCGATTGGCACGACAACCGTATAGCGTAGTGGTGAGCTGTAACATGCAATTGAATTTGGACTATTTGTTGGAACGATTGTGGGAAGAATTGAGCTTGATTAGAGTGTGTAAGTATTTCGGTGCACAGCTTAATGCTTTTAATTCTCGTCTAGGGCTGCATTCAATTGATAAATATTTATTTTAAAACCCAAAACAGACACAAAAAAGCCCGGTGCCCCACCAGACTTTGGCGATGCAATCATTTTGCGGCGAGGCGTCACTGTGGAACATGTGTGCCATGCAGTCCATCGGACATTAGCATCGCAATTTAAATACGCACTCGTTTGGGGAACATCAACAAAATATTCGCCCCAACGTGTCGGCATCAGTCATGTTATGAACGATGAAGATGTTATTCAAATTATTAAAAAGTAATGGTTATACGATTGGCTAGTTTTGTGGAACGACTAAACCGAAGTTTTCCATAAAATCTTCGAATTTAATGTTTTACTTTCGATAAATAAATAAAAATCGTCCACAAGCATTCTATTCAGAAGCATTTTTTTTCCTTTTCAATATGAAACTCTCGTCCCTATTAACAAAACCCCATGTGAGACGTAGCACTGTCATTTTGACAAGCCGGTGTCAAATCGAGTCGAAAACAAAACATATTTGCAGCACATAAACAATCTTTCAAGTGAATTCATTAGGAAAAGTCAATTTCCATCTACATTTCGATGAGTTTGAAAACAAAAATGGAAACAGATGAAAATTATTTTATAAAGAAAGCAAAGCTGGCCGAAGAAACAGATCCATTCACAGCAAAGGCATGGATTTTGACGGCAAAAAGCCTATCGCCAAACAATTTCGATGTTCAATTCGAAGTATACAAGCAAGAGAAGGCTGCAAAAAACTACACCGAAGCTGCGAAATGCTTCAGCTACATCATGCTCACATTTCAAAGTCAGCCACCGCAATTACGACGTGAAATCAGTCAACTCACAAATGCATTGCGTGTACCAGAGACAGGTGGCAAGAAAGAGGAAGACTTCTATGTGGAAATGTTTCAACACATTTCGTACGAGGTGCAAAATCGTATTTTACTATCACTCAAACGAGATTCCGATAACAGTTTGGACTATTGCCAGTTTGTGTTGTTGTTGATGAAAAAGTTCCCGCAAATGGCTCACGTGCATTTGGTAAGTTTCAGAATGCTTTATATTTCACAAGAATAAGTTGACCAACAGTTGACAAAATTGGTTTATTTCAGTCTCATTTGCTAGAAGCACTCGTTCAAAATACATCGTCTGGAAATCAGAAGAACTGCATTAAAATGCTTCTATTCGAAGTGGTTCCGCTTATCATACAAAAGCCACCATCTGATCTATCAGCCAATTTAGTGCATCGCATTCTTACTCTCGGATTGGAGTTTTATACATCGCAAATATTTTTATTCAACAATGGATCCGCCATACCGGCTGAGTTCAGCGATACCGCCAATCTGACGACGCCCATTTGTTGGTCGCGAATTTTCGAAATAGTCGATGTGTGCGGAAGGATTCTGAAGTGGGAACCATTTCTTCCCTATCATCAAAACTGGTCAAAAGATGTGTATTGGCAAAAACTCTATCACATCGTTTCACTGTCATCAACACGGCCGAGTGAAAATAAGCAGATTTTATTCTATGGAACGATTTTGTTTGTGATTTCATTGCATGACTACATCAATAGCATGAAACAAAAGATTGACGACAATGAAATTCGATATATTCTAATTGAGACTATGGCAACAGGTAAGAATTATTACATTCGATTTGAGTTTTTTTTTTCTCGAGAAATTCACACAATCTTCTGTCTGTTTGTCCTTGATAGAAGAAAGCGATGGATCAGCAAAGCCACATCACACATTCCGTGAGCTGCCCAATATAATCACAAATCCACCATGCGACAAAGAAGTGGCAATTTTATTCCGAACCGCTGTTCAATGCTGGCAATTACTTCAATCCAACGAAATTCTGCAAATTGACTTTAAGCAACTGCTTTTGTCGCTTCCCTGTTCACCGTATGTCAATCAATTTCTTGTCGATCTGGCTTTTTATCTTGGCCAACCGGAAGAGGCACAAACACTTTTGAATGATTCGACATTGGGTACGAGCAGTTTGGAGAAAAATCTACGGCACCTGAGTTTAACATTGCATCAACCAACATTTCAGGTTTGTTGTTGGTTTTTCGTGTAATTATTATTGTTGTTGTTTTTTACTATAATATAAAACAAATCATTGATCATCAGGTCCCAGCGTTTGAGTTGATGATGAAAATTCTTGGTGATTTACCGAGTGCATCGGGAAAATTTGTAAGAAACATCACGTCAAATGTAACCGGTCGAAATATGGTATTTTTACCACTGACCAAACGACCAATTTTGCAATATTGCACCAAGATTTTGGTGAGAACTTTGAAGGTATAATCCGATTGACTTGAATTTTTTTTTATGGAAGATCTTAATAGGAATTTCTATTTTGATTCCAGGCAAAAATTGGCGATGAAACTCATCATTATCGCGATTCAATTTTGAGCAGCATGTTGGTGCTGATTCAATTGAACTATCCGAATGAAATAAAGACCGCTGAATTTATTTTCGATCGAATTCGTTCGAAGCAAAGTTTTAGCTTCACCGACTTTTCCACCTATATCATTTGCTCCGATTTTTTGGCAGAATTCATGTATTTGTACACCAATGAGAACAAAATACAACTGGAATTGAATGCACCGACCACCACGTCGATAACACGTCGCATTGGAACGAGAGGCTCGGACAGAGGCATCAAAGATGAATTCAAGCAACTGATACGGAAACAAATGGCGCGATCGCATGAAGACATTGAACCATTGATCCTGCAATTCATCACTCAAGAGCGCAACACTTTGATGCAGTTGATTTTTGATAAATAATACGAAGAATAAAAAACATTTTAGTGAAATAAGAATTAACATATACATATTCCACAATTTACTGTACACAATCATTTATTCTCACAATAAAGAAGTCAATAAATTTGATTTTCACTGTTTTTTTTCTTTCAAATCTAGAACGAATATGAATTTATTATCAAACTTGATTGAAAATGGAAATTTCGGGCTATGTGCACCTCAGAAGGTTGGAATTTTCACACACATGAATATACACAATATGGCGTCTACGCTTTGAAGAAAAAAGAAAATTCTATATTTATTTTTCACACCTTCTCGTTTTACACGTCAATCCAAATGGTTTCGTCATTCAACTGAATTGTCTCGAATTGCTTTAAAATGTGAAGCGTTCGAAACTTTTAAAAGTAAAACCCCTTTTTTCAGTTTGAGACGAGGGTGT